CACACACACACACACACACACACACACACATTCCTCTCGCAGCCCTCAAACTCCCCACTGCACCAACTGCTGTTTAGTTTAAAGCAAGGCTGTCGGCAATTAACTGTGTTATGTCAAGCTTATTCTCTGGCTGTTGCTAGCTGGATAAACTGTTCCAATTGGTCCCCAGCAGCCGACCTGGCAGAGCAGTAAGTAGGTGTCTCTGTTATCACAGCGTGGTTTTAAAAAGACCCCTGAAGACCACACTACAGCACGATTTTGGGGCTGTTGGCCAATATAGAGCAATATTAGCTTATTGTTGCTGAATTTGCTGAATGTGTTGGTGAAGTCTAAAGAAAAAACACATCCTTAAATTTGTCAACATACATTTTTTTCCAAAAGTGCATCGTGTGAACCACTGTAAGCAGACCAGAGCTAAAGATGACATCATTGAGAAATATCAAACAATTTACATCGTAAATTACGTCACTGTTGTTTTATGCGTCACTTTTGATAGAATGCAGCACCTATGGTGCCATATGGTTTCTTCTCTATGGCAACGGCAACCTAGGCTCATGGGTATTGTAGTATTTAGACCTGTTTGTGATGTCATAATGATGAACAAAACACAATTTCTCAGGATCAAAGGTTGAAATATTTTAAACTGTGGTCATAACATGTCCCGATGAGTTCTGTGTCTCTGTGTTAACATCAAGAATATGATTTAAAGAAAAAATTTCAGTGGGAATTCTGATTTCTGGAACTAGTGGCCCATTCCACTTCACAACTCTATAAAAGAAGTAGATTATGGTGGTATGACTTATAGTCTAGCATGTGTTTCGTTTCCGTCCTCAAAGTCTGAGCCACCAATTTCTCTCAGGGACTGTTCAGAAACCTGGATCAGGTAACTATAGTCAGACTCACCAGAAGTAGACTCCTGGAAAAGCCTGCCATTGGCTGTTGAGCTGATGCAACATTCTCCTCACCTTTCGCTTCCAACCTTTACCGTTTTCAAAATCCTAGTCCTACAAGAAACAATTTCTTTCAAGCTTAAATAAAGATTTGGATAGTGCAGTCACACAGCCTGTTGTTTGTTGTGGTGTTGTCTTTACAAGGCAGACAGGAAACCAGGAATAAATATGGGGTATGTGCCACCAAGGTCCACAGCTGGAATAGAGCCATGGATGCAGTGCTATTGTGGCATGCACTGTAACCGTTTGGCCACCAGAGTGCTCTGGATTTGTCATTTTAACTACAGTGATCCCTCCCCATGTGCAATTACCCCCCCCCCATCCCTGTCTTTGTGCCACCTGATTGTGACTTGTGAGCATTTTAACAGACACATCATACTCTCACAATCTCAATTAAAGTCACTTTTCCAATAGTGACAATGTTCATCATTTCCTTTTTACATATTTCATTTCTTTCATTCTTTGTCAGTTTTTGCATCTTCAGCTCAGTGGATTTTGGTTTAAAAGCTTGCATTAGGCAGATCAATCTAACCAAAGTCCAGCCCCCTTACTAATTTCAGGTCTTTTAGTGACATGAAAACCTCTCCAAGTCTGTTTGGTTTCAGGATAATCAGGTCTGCCAGAAAGAGGATTCTTTCCATAAAGGAACTCAGCTACCATCCCCACATAACTAGTGGAGTAGATCGTCCATATTTTCTTCTCATTTGATTGTGTTCCCACTTATGTAATAGGTCACCACAATAACAAAGTGTGGTTTGTTTTACGGTAAAAGCCTAATTCATCCACCAGATATTAATCTTTAACTGTTGTCTTACAATCCACTGCAGTGACAGGCAGACCTTTTAAATAAACACTGATGGTGACCAGAGCGAGGGAGAGCCATCGCTCCTGACAAGTGATGATCCTCTCCACTATCTCTATGTGCTCAGAGGACTAAACAGTTTATTTCGTGTTTGCAGTCACTTCCTAGGGGTTGTTAAGCTGATGTACAGTTTGACAGAAAGAGAGGGAAACCAGATCATCGGAGGAAGATTGTTTTGACCTGATAAGTAGAAATGGGTACATTAGGGAGAAAAATGGAGCATAACACAGAAACTGTGGGATTAGTCTTGTATTTGGTATACATAGACAGATGCCACATGATTTGTGAGAATGTGGGTGAATTTACAGTTTTACTTTGTAAATAAGGAGCTACTTGTTCATGAATCATGATTAGTAGAAAGAACATGTACAAAACTAGGGTGGCACTCAGTAGAAGGCACACCTCTTCAACAAATTGCACACAGTCACAAATATCAGTCCCCAAAACATGCCTGATTATTTTCAGTAAGTTCCATGAAATATTCTCTGAGAAGTCAATGAAAATGTTGAAAAACACCCACGCAATGTTTAAAAAAGGGATAAAACTATAAACATGTATAGTAGTCGCGTTTTCCATCAGTTTTGACAAAATACTGCCACCACAAGGTCAAGGTTTGTAGCTGTTTAGAAATTGTCAGTCAGGTTAAACCACATGGTCTTTCTCAGTGAAGTTTGCTGAGTTGTCACTAAGTTCTGCAGTAAGCCTGCAGCTGAGCTAACATTAACTATCATCTTCATTCTTGATGATTCTGATTCTTGTTTTCTCAAATAATTGACAAATTGAGGAGGACTGAGGAACTGAAGCAAGAAAATGTTTGGAATTTTTGTTTAAAACTACAACTCTGATTAATCAATAATGAAAATAGTTTCCAATTTAAGTCTCAGTAGACAAACTGATAAAAAATATTTAGGTATTTTAGCTCTGATTAGAATATATACGCTTTATAACATAGAGTTCTTGAACATAAAAGGTATATAAAGATAGAGAACATGATGGTTCCCCAAAGCGAAGCCAAAGCATCTCGATTGCCACCTGGTGGTGGGCTGCATTACTCCCAAAATATACATCAAATGTTTTCTGTCAGTTAGTTGTTATCACACTGGTGCTTGTATTTGTTATTTATTTTCTACATTTTGATATGATTTGTTATTTGACAGCTGTGACTGATTTGCCATTGGTCGAGTGCGTATATCGCAGGGACGTCAATACTTCTGCTCCATGTACTGAATGCTACTGCACAGACTCATGCAGTTGTATCTGGGATAATTCGGCTTCATTTCTTGGGAGATCATGAAGATGCGTCGTCCGTTTTTATTTACAGCCAGTGTCTTGAAAGATCGTGAGTTTTTCAGTTCCCTGCTCCCTGGTTCTAATTTTCTGCTCCACCTGATGCTCATCCTGTGCCCACAGACAGAACTTAGAGTAACGTGCCTACGTCATAGCTCCTGGGCCACTCTGTTAATGTTGGCTGATCTGACTGTGACACATGATTGATAACCTTTCCCAAGTGTGCAGGATCCAAAGGATTAGTTGAGTTTACTTCTAACAGCATGCTGGGTACCTCTGCTGTTAATGACTGGAATTAATAACCTGCTGACGCCTATGAGACAGCAGTGTTTATGCTCAGGCAGAGACATGACAGTCTGTCCTGGATATTGAGTAGTTGCAAAGTGTCAGCCCTTGCCCAGAAAGGTTTGTGTTTATATGTCACTTATGATGATGGTAATATTAGTTTTAGTCCAGTGCATTTTTTGTATGTATTTTTTTGTCTGTGGATTGGCCTTTAACATTTTTGGGTCATATGACTTACTGAGATATTAATAACAGTGGATTAGTGCAGTGTTTACATTTCTTCCTTGATATGCATCTTTCTTTTTCTTTGTCTGCTTCTGGCTTTATCCTCCACACACACACACACACACACACACGAGAAGGGCATGAGAACGGGGTAAATTTCTTGACAGCTTCAATGAAACCTCACACAAAGAGAAAAACTCGGGGGGGACGAGAGAAATGCAACACCGTACAGTAGCCTGTATGCACCAGATAGCGGGTGTGGCTGCCTTTCTGCACAAAGCCAGAAATAAAGAGTGAAGCTATTGCTTTCAGCAGCAAGACCCCCGGGTGACCTTCCCCATCGACCCCAGCGTGACCCCATAGTGAGGAAGGAGAGAAGCAAAGCACCTAGTATCAGTGCACAGGAGTCGAATGCACCGGGACGCGATCACAATAGCTAAAAAGGAAGGCGCTGTCATTGTGTGCTCTCAGTAAATCAGCGTGGAGGTGACAGACCCAGTTCTTGGGCCTGCGTACCTACCTTAAAGGCCAGCACACTCATAAGTCAAACTGTTTCTCCATCATACACTCTCACTGCGAGTGTAGCCTGAAGACTTTGGTCACCCACGTATTGTTTCTTAAGTATTTCTCTGCAGCTGGCTGGTTTGTCTGTTTCGGGTCAAACAGAGGTTCATGGCTTCAGGGTGCAACTGTACTAGTCTTACACGGAGGAATGTGTCATATCAAGCTTTCATACCAGCTAGGAAAGGAAGCTCCGGGCGACTGAATTGACCACTCTCAGTCTCAGACCCGTGAAATGACTACCTCCATAAATTAAAAGATACAAGAGAAAGTGGATTCTGCAGCTGAGTTTGAAAGCAACATTACAGTTGAATTACACTTTGTTTTCACATCTCTTCATGTGCACCATCCTCGTACACTAGGCAGACCCCCTCCCATCTTAACTCAAGTGTAAACAGTTATCTTTTCTGTTTATGTTCTGATATGTGACAGTTAACCCTGCGAGAGTGCTGTGTAACCAGTGCATAAATCTATCTATCTATCTCCTCTAGGTTTTCTCACATGTAACACTGTGTTTTGTCCACAGTCGACCTGGAGCACATGAGGACAGTGAAGGCTGACAAACACCAGCGCTTTTGCCAAGAGAATAGCCTCATCAGTCAGTTTGTATCAGCCAAAACGGGGGACTCGGTCAGTACCAGCTCAATCAATAAGACAATAAAAATGTGGAGTAGAATGAGATGATCATAATGCTTCATTTGTTTCTTGTTATCTCTTTCTCCAGGTATATCTTTGTTTCCAGAGGGTGGCTGCTGAGATTCTTGGTGTAAAGCTAAACAAAGCAGAAATAGAGCAGTCCCAGGTAAGACATACGCTGCTTTGATAAACACCGAACTCCAGATATTATCCTGAAATTATTTGTAGTGACTGTTAAAGTTTTGAAGTAAAATGTCCGAGGGAGCCCATGTGAGAATACAGCAGGACAATTTATCGAAAACGCATGGGAACGTTGATGTTTCTAACAATAGGCAGACGCAAAAAACACAAAGATGCCATACGAGCAGCTGAAACGCAAGAAAATATCAACTTAACATCGAGGGCTGTTGGTGCTAAGGGCATGTGCATGGGGTTTCAGTAGCTCAATTTAAATCACTGCCTCCTGCATGCTCGACACAGACGCCACCCCTCACCTGAACGCTCTGGAGATTTTTCTGTAGTGGTGAATGCCTCTGACAGACAATCTCCTGCTGCGTTGTTCATATGTGAAAGGCAAAGTCCGGACCCGTCATTTTCTGGAGTTCATGTCTGAAAACTGCGATAATGAGAAATCGATGTCCGTTAAACTTCTCTGGAATTTCTATGCAGCTCCCTCTTCAGCGACATTGAATCATTTATTTGCTCCTCACTAGGATTTTGCTCTGCTCTTATCCAGCCAGTGTGTTTGAATTTGTAACTGAATGTTAAGTGAGTGAAAGTATGTTTCTGGGTTCACCTCTCCTGGTATTAGAAGTCATGTTATGCCTGAACTTAAGGGAGGTCAGGGGGAGTGTGTTAGGTCAGTGGAGGTCACCACACACTGTAAAGGACCTTTTGTTGTCTAAACATGAGTTTGTTACGTCTGACTCCGGTGATGGTCTACGTGCCACGGATACTGCCCATCTGTAAATACGCCCACATTGACCACATTAACGCGTGAAGTCAGAGGTTAAAGGTAGGCAGTGGTAAAGGTGAGGAGGTTAGAAATGTCTGTCTGATTTATTTGGGTTATCTCCCACTGTTTCGGGCCAAAGCAGGGTCTCAGCTTGCCAGCCAGGCCGAGGTGCCCAGTGGTGGCAGCTGTAGAATTTACAAGGTCACCTCCCCCAGAAGCATTAATCCTGGGTCTGATATGACCAGTTGGAGCCACTCTGGCTGGGTAGTAGTTGATGAGCCTGGGGGCTACAGAGAGGTCAGGACCTCTGGAGAAGGGAGAGCATGGAGGGGAAGGACCGGCCAAATTCTCAAGCCCTTCTTCTCTCATCAACACTGCTGACGAACTATAAATGACCGTTGACTAATGGAGCTGTTTGTCTACTTTCCTCATCCTCTCCTCCCTTGATAGCTCGGTCAGAAAAGCAAAGTGCTTTAATCCAGGCTAATCAAGAAGGGTGAGTGGCTCGACACAAGGTTGTTCTTCTAGGAAAAAGAGACAGACTTGTTCATTGAAACACACAAACTTCACAGAGTTCTAGTCCATTTTTCTAAATTCTAAGTTATTACATTTTTTCAGTTTTGACCACATTCAAAACACACAACATGTTAAAAGAGAAAATATAATTTTGGATTTGCCCCCAGTCCAGATACGCACCAACTTTTTATGGGTTCTTCCCTCATCCTTCCACTGAGTGTTGTGGTAATCTGTCCAGCATCTAGTATTTGTGTAATCTAGCTCACAAACAAACCTTCAGACGAACAAGTGAAAATATAACATTGAAAAACACACTGCATAGGAATAATCATAATCTATCGCACATGAGAAGAAACGTCGTAGAGAACCTGAGGTTTCTTTGAGCACTTCACAGCTTTGGGTCTAGCTGTGGGGCCAGCGCAGCCTCATTATCAGTTGTCAGGTTTACAGAGCTGAACATGAGGGTCACAACCCCTGACAGTATTACCTCTGCCTGGCAGCCCGCTCCATCTTGCTCCTCTGTCTGTGAGATCAGATACAGAGGCCGCGGATCACTCACTGACTCCGACAACAGGCTTCGGCAGCTCGTTAATCAGGCAGCCAACCAGGACTTGGTATTCAGCCATGTGGCCGTTTCCCCTGTGGTTATTTAGCAAAGAGTCCAGCAGCCTGGTTCACCGTTAAAATCAAATTTACACAGATTTGAACTTGAATTCCCTCTAA